GTTCCAGACGTGAAAATTTGCGGGTGGCTTTTTTTCGTCTTCTTCTCAAGGCTAATATTCATTCAATATTAAACCTATGTTTCGTGTTCAATCTGTCGAAGTGGGTAGAACCACGCCACAAGGGCCAAGTAAGGAAGAAACGGGCCGGAGTTCTACCGAATGTGCATCGACATGCAAAGTTTGCGTTCACAGGTGCATGACTTCAGGACAGCGAGCGTGTCATAGGCATCTCCTCGCAAGATCTAGTACACGGCCTGCTGCTGTCGGGGAACCCTTATCTAGGCGCGTGGTTCATTTTTTTTTGTTCTGTTTCACCGTCGAGACAGCGAGCACCGCAAGGCCTTGACCTGGTGCTGTAGCGACCCCGGGTGCTACCGAAGAATGGCAGGTACCATCTACACCGAGCAGTAAGTCACTAAGTCACTCCGTAATTCTCGCTGCTGCTGCGTCGCTTTTACTGCGGACACCTACCTAGTGACGTCTTCGTCGCCATCGTGGTTCTGCTAACCCCACTTTCGCCACCACGAGAGATAATCGACTCTTTGCACGCGTTCTCATTATGTATCTCGTGTATGTATGTCATCAATTATATTAGTCGGGTGGTTCTAAGCATTAGCCACTGTCTCGTCCAATTTTAAGGCTTCACTGGTTCTGCGGCGTGACGAGCCCAAACACAACACTGGGGCCCTGCCATTCAGCCGACATACCTCCCAGACGTGCTTTTCCCGCGTTTTTTGCTTACAATCAGGTTGACAAATTGTTGTGCAATAAAGGCCTCTTAGTCGAAGCAATGTCTTCACCTTTCAAACAAAAGCAAACTCGTGCAAGCAAGAACACATTTCGTCGGTCTACTCAGAGCAGTTGCGTAGTATGGTGTATTCTTACACGGGTGCTTACAGAAGTTTCATGTCCGCATACTTAAAACAAAAGGGAGACTTTAATACTTCCGAGAGCATTCGTGAAAGTATTTGAAAAGTGCTTGTTATTTGGAGGCATTGTCTGGTCGTCAGTGCTAGCACAACTTCATCAAAAATCACTGACTAATTTTTAAACAACTTCTTCCCTTTCTTTTTTCATAATACCGCATGAGAAGTTTATTTGTAGCTGAATATGAAATTTGAATTAAATAACTGAAGGGACAGTCTTTCTAATTGTTGGGCCAGAATTAGCTCTGTGTTTGTTCATCAGCGCGTATGTCGCCTCACTATTCTGGCTATAAGTATACTGTAATCTCCAAAACACCTGCTGGCATAGTTAAGTGAGAAGGCGCTCTTTCGCAAAATGAGCTTCCTCCATGCACTGTATCAAAAAGGCCCAAAAAGTCGTTTTTATTGCCTACAAACTATTTTCTGCTTTCAAGAAGTCTTCCCAAAAAAGCACTTCACGGTCAGAGTTACCTGTATGAGATCATGTGAGCCCTTCTAACACAAGAGAGTTATTGGTGAATGAAGACACTTTACATGAGAATAATTGCAGCAGTGCCTTTTCTGCATAAATACCTCACCGAAGTGTCTCTATGCGCGTGGTTCCACGTAATTACCGATACAACAAGTATGTTTTCACGAAGCCAATAGAGGTCATGCTTTTTAATTTCAGACATGCACAAAGCGACCATTTCTATTACTCGAAGTGAAATGGAAATAAATTATTATTTATTATTAAACTTTTTGGTTTTTAAGTGGCCACCATTACAAGGCGGGCGGGCAGCAGCCGTACTTCTTCTTGCTTTTTTTATCAACCAAGAAAGCTCTTTTTCGAACAACACTCTATACACAAATATCAAATGAAACAATGTAGTCAGGCCCCGGTTTCGGCTGACCTATAGCGCATTTTACAACACTTTAGGTACCACTCTTTGCATGTCTTTTGTTTATTTCTGTCTCTTTCGCGCTGTATAAGAAATCATAGCATACAAACTCGCCCGGTCAAACGCACTGCTTTTGAGCTCCTGAATATACCTGATGTTCACGTTGAATTGACTATATGTGATTTTTAGGCGTTTTTTGAGACATATAGTACAGTTCAGGTTCCTGAGTTCGATAATCAAATTTTCGTGTGCAGCCCACGTCAGAAAAAGTTTTATAATTTTAAATAGTAATCATAAAATTTCAGGTAAACAAATTACGACACATTTTTGAAAGTACCGATTATAACCGGTGAGTTCAGAAGCCATTTTCACCCTCGCTAGAAAGTCTGAGTGCAGAAAGTTTCAAAAATACGAGAGCACCGCCAAACGCGCGTACAAAAAGTCATCTGCTCAGCAAGCACATGATGCTGTTGTTATATACCTCGAAGCACCTCAGCGGTTACACAGCACCGGACAGAAGAGGGGTAGGGAAGAGACAGAGCAATAAGGCCGTCTTGGACAGCCAATGAAAAAGTCACAGTTTTGCCGCAAAGGCGGAGCAATGAACGTGACAGCAACAAATTGGAAGGTGACGCCCAAAATGGCGAGCAGATCGAAACGTGCGCCTTGTTTTCCACGCACAAATAACGCACAAAACGTAATCACAGGTACAAATGAATTTGAATAAGCTTGTGAATTGATACTTCGCTGTGTCGGAAAAACGCGTCTTTTTCGCAAACGGAGAAAATATAACGATTGCAAAGACCTTTGTGCGCCCAGTAACTACAATATTATCCTTCCTGAAAGCCCAAGGCCAGCCAAGACATATGATTCTCCCCACCGCGAAATAACGGCGTGCGATTGCAAAGTATTCAAAACAACTCCGGCGGAAAGTAGGTGTGGGAGATGTGCGCACCGCTGCGTCCAACGATGTGGCAACGTGCGCACGTTGCTTCATCCGACTGGTAATGCTGAAAACACGATAGCTCCCGCCAAGAGGCCCCCCAGCAGTGGAAAGTGATAGATATATATAGCTTGTCGTTTGAACGTTGAAGGAGGTTCTCCGCCCATGCTCAGTTTTTAATGCCTCGCACTTACGATTCAGAGGTCCCAAGATCGATTCCGCGCGCCAGAGTCTTTGTCTTTACTATTTTTATTTCTGGTGCTTCCATATTTATAGCGACGTATACATATACAGTGAGTGGCGGTGATGCCAACGCCGATGGCGAAACGCAGCCAAGAGTTTTGATATAATTGTCATCGCAATAAAAGGGCACAATGCGATGACGTGCGCTAACCAGGCTTGCGGCGCCAGGACCTCATAACGCCGGGGCTGGAGCAGCAAAGCCCAGATTCGTGGCTATGGGGCCATTTAATGGTGAGTCCCGGTGATCGAGCGTGGCAGGGCCGGTACAGTGCGTTAGCTATGGGCGCAGGCGCCAAGGAAACGCGCTCTCAATCCCCTCAAGTTCTAACCTTGATGTGGCGTTAGGTTGATGCCCTACAGTTTCTCTGACACTGACACTGCGTATGCCAAATGTTCTCACCACGGTTCTTGCGTTAACGTACTCTGTGGTTCAGCTGTCATTACAAGAACGATTAGGCAGCAACTCAACGACGCTTACGTGCTCTAGATAATTCAGAATTCGGTGTGCGTCAGAAACACACCAACGTAAAACTCATCAGTGTTCGCTGCTATACGACGTGTCCGCCCATCTCAGCACTATTCTTATTACAAGGCACAACGCTGAACTGTGCTTAACTATGCAGACAAGCTATCCGGTGAGTGTCGTAGCAGAAAACCTGCGACAACAAAACCCATTCGCAAAACCTGCTTCAAAGAAAGATAGCAGCGATGAACGTAGCGGAAAAAACTCATATTCTATGTTCACAGAAACTTCTTATTTACACAGTAGTCCATCAGAAAAAAATATCAGGTAATTGTGATGCTGAACATAAATAAACCATACCGTCTGGCCAAAGAAAAAAAGCATGTATAACCTGAAAGCTTCGTGACTGAGGCTTTAGTTAGCATATGTACAGAAATTTGTTCTTAAAATGGTGAGTGTATTTAATTGATTTATTTTTATTGCCCGAACGCCAACCACCTATGCGAACGCTTCGCTTGATTTATTCATTTCACTTGTTTGCCAATTCGGCTAGCAAATTGGGGCGTGTTTAGACTATGGCTATTTCCACTGCGGTGGAGGGAGCAGGGAGGCGTACCATAGAGTTGCACTGATTGGTGAATTTACAAAAAATAATTCTATATATTTATTACCTTACAGGGCCACTCATGATCTATGCTCTTTGGCCAAACTGTGAAACGATGTCAACTCATGAAAGCGTTTAACACTGGTTGTATGCTGCGTTCTAAATGGAAAGCTTAAGTTTGAAGCTTTCACCGTTCATATATTTCACTACTGTGATCTACTTTTAAAGTACACCTCAAGGGGAGAAAAATATTTATCTGATTCTTTTCTGTCAGCGTTGTGTTGCCTCGTGTATGACTCCTATATGACACGTGGAATCTCTTTTGAGATCGCTAAGTACTCTTTCCAGAGAGTCATTGCGCACAAGAGAAAGTTTACATGTCTCTTTAAAAGGGTTCATAGTTCTACCAATTCCCGCTTTGCTGCAAACAGTAGCACATGAATATTTTTCCTTTTCTAAGAGCATACCAGAAATTTTCTTCGATTTAGACGTGACGAACGACACCCGACGGCACCTTCAAGGTACGCTTACCCGTGAAACCGGTCGCCTTTTAATGCCAGTAGACAGGCAACCGTTTGCACGCGATTCATCGTGAAGACGCTCGTATTTCATCTGCTACTCGGGTATCATAAACTAAAGTTTGTATTGGTGGTGGTGGTATAGCTGCAAAAGCGTCGAGCGTTCTCGGAAGGCTCGATCATTATGGTGAAACAAAAAGTTTGCAATTTTGATGGCATCCTATGACAAACTTGTCAAACAACCAGCAGTAAAACTTTGGTTCAATAAGAATTGTTTTCGAAGTGTGCGAACTGAAAGGACACCTGCGGTTCCACTTGGAATGGAAAGAAAGAAAAACTGCTTGCTACTGTTTGATTCACGTGGCAGTTTTCTCTCACTCTTCTGGGGAGCGGAAATAAATATTGTTAAAAGTGAACTGGATCACTTCGTGGGCTGCATTTTGTGAGCATTGTTGGAAGGATAGTCTAAACATCAAACGATCTGACAGTACAAAGGCAGAAGCTTAAGGTCCAAACTGAAATGTCCACAACCATAGTACTGACGCTTCTTTTGGCAGGTAAGCAATCCGGTTTTTAGGAGCCCTTTATCGCCAACGCCTTAAAAGTGTGAGCTATAAAGGTGGCAGTGGATAATACCTCGATGCTAAAAACACATTCGTCCGCACTACACCATTCAATAATTCATTTATTGGTTTAAGTCACCTGTAAAAATAACTACGCTCACTATTTTGATTCAGTTTATACGAAGTATTGTCATTTAGATTCGGTACAATTTTTAGTAGCGAAAAAAAATAAACTGGCACGTAAAACAAGTTGTCCTGAAATTTGCATGAGCTATACGTCAATCATGCAGAATCGCGTTGTTTTCCTTAGTTCATACTTACAAGTAACCTTTCACCATAGCCGTTTTTGCATGGCACTTATTGTGGAGTCGACTTGGTTAATGGTGAGGTATCGGATTCACAATAACACAACAACAATATGTATATTATTACAAACTACAACTGCATTATATATATATATATATATATATATATATATATATATATATATATATATATATATATATATATATATATATATATATATATATATATATATATATATATTATTCTCTAGAGTTCTCAGTTCCAAACTCATGTGATAATGAGAGACAGCGTATAAAGGAGCGCTCCACAAATTTGACCATCTGGTGTTATTTAGATTGCAATGTCATCACAAGTAAACTGGCCTCTAGCGTTTCGCGCTGATCGCATTGCGATCACCGTGAGCGGGATTGAACTCTCGACCTTCGGATCAAGAGCCGAGCATTGTAACCAGTGCTCAACCACGGTGGACTCTCGTCTCATTACAAGATGCTCTAATTGGACTCATCGAACCCTTGCTGAGCATTGTAATAGACATCAAAATGTATAAACTAATTCTACTAAACAATTGCACTTAGGAGAGCATGGTGTTTTTATGTAAGTATTCGCATAGCCAGATCAGCGACGTTAACGAACAGGCTAACATCTATCACATATTTCACACAAGAAAAATCAAAGTTTTTTCGATAATAACGCACAAGAACCGCACCTCTCTTGGACCTCAGTTACGAGCGATAACGTCCTGGTCATCAATAGTCAACCGACTTCACACTCAGATCAATTCGCTTATTCTAACGAACGAAGACGCAAGAAAAAATCGATAGGTATTGACAGCTCGCCTTATTCCTCATACAGCATGTTATGATGTTTCAAAATGAAGATAATATGAAATTGGAATAGAATTGTCCCATTGATTGGTCGTTTTTCTTCTTGAGCGACGAGAGCTTGTATCTGAATTAGGTGTATTTATAGGTACAATATAGAAAAAAACCGTGTTTTTTCGCATTGGTACATAAAAGTTCCTACTAAGGAAAGCACGACTCTTACCACGAGAAGTCGCTTGATAACCAAGAAAATACGCACAAATAGAATACAGTTGATGACGCTCCGGTAAAGTTGGACCAATGTGACCAAGATATGCGAGAAAACTTTGAAATTTATGACGTCCTGTTCATGTTCACGGGCCGTCTTTTCGAGGCAAAACTCAGAAATTTAACTTCAATTTCTGTTCGCGTAAACGTTGGTGATTTGAACAACGCAGAAGGAAAGGAACGAATCTGTGAAAAATGGTGAATGTTTCACTTTGCAACCTTGTTATCCTATGTGTCAAGGCAGTTTTTTTTCACATAACGTTTCAGTGGTTCCCTTTTGCATAAATACGATGCATATGGGGTGCTTATTAGCGTAGAAAACCAGGGAGCGAATGAAAACAGAAAAAGCGATATGGAGTTGTATATTCAAAATACATGGAGTGTTTTTAAGATGCCGCCTGAATCAACAGGCTCACTTTTAACTCAAGTAAGAATATGCGGCTTGACATCCAGCTTTAACTGCTCATAATGACACGATACGAGACCGGACGGAGCTCATTGATAAGGGCCCTTGTTGTCGTGCTTGTCCTCGAGGCACTCAATGTTCTAGCGCAGTTTTCATCAGCGAGACGAAGCATTCAATTTGCAAGCCTCCACCGAGAAGCTTTACTTTTGCGCCATGAGTCTATGCATTGTACAATGCAATCAATTTCAGTTTTTCAAACATTGCAAATAATGATGTTAATCAACGAGAACCAGCAGCGCTGTGAGTTGTACTTACATGCGGCCAAAAGTAGGTCATGTTATATGCCACACCACTACGCGCTTTTCAATAGACAGTAAAAGTATCTTCTTGATAAGGGTCTAAGAATAGAAGTTACGTATAGAAGCTCATAGACCGATATTTATGATTCTGGTAATGATACTTATCAGCCTCTTCACAAACCTCATCAAGGAGTCGTCCAGGCTGCTTGATAAAATCAAGTTCTATAAGACCAAAATTACCGTCAAAAATTTTGGATTTACCTTTCTGATCTCCGGGGTTTAAAGTCCCTAAACCACCATATGATTATGAGAGACACCGTAGTGGAGGCCGCCGAAAACTTCAACCAGCTTAACACTTTACTGTGCACCCAAATCTGAGTACGCGGGCCTACAACGTTTCCGCCTCCTTTAGAATCCAGCCGCCACAACCGGGATTTGATCCCGCGAATTACGGGTCAGCTGCCCTGTACCTTAGCCACTAGAACACTGTGGCGGGGCTGGCTTGTTATAGCAAGTGTTATACCAAAGCGAAATATTGGAGGTAACGTTTAGTGAGTTTTGTGCACCGGAAAACGCAGGACAACAAAGCAGCTGTTTTTCACCTCTTTTGATCCACTAAGCTTCCACTACAGTTCCTAAATCCACAATCAAAGGCACCCGTAAGAACAATGCTTCTAGCTGGTGCAAAGTCTCTGCATGGCGGAGGTTACTCGGTGTCTTTGCGGAAGGGTGAGAATTTGTTGTGAAGGAGGAGACGGAGAAAGAAAAGAGGTGGAGAGGAAAACGGGTGCCCGGAATGCAACGGAGAGAAACCATGCCACGGCTCGCGAATGCGTGCAGGCGGCACGCCGACAAAACACAAGAATGCAGCCAACTGTTAAAAAACAAGTGAAACGAACCCCCTTTTCTGGAAGTGCCACCTTCTATAAGAGGACTTCCAGTGTTATCGCTAGTTTTTCCAATTTGTTGGATATTCTTTGAACCAAACAGTACTAAGCAGAAATGTAGAGACGTACAGTCGTCATCAATTTTAACCCGGACGCTCCACAGCATGTCCTGAAATGGCTTCATTGACACCAGCACCACGTAGATCTGGGTTATGTATCCGAGATGTTACACATGTATAGGGACAGACTATCCAAGCATAGCAAGGTATCATAGTAGGCATACCGAACTACATGGATGGCATTAGTCAAAGCAGACCTGGTCACGCTATAGCAGCGTTTATGTTAAGCAGTTGAGTGTGGCTCGTGAATGGTTTAGCGTGCTTCTAGTTAACATATTGCTCTGGTTAAATGACCAATTACACGTACTAGAACTTTTGTCATTCCAACACACAATTTTAAGGTTTTTCTTAAGTTTCAGCTCATTTGTCGTGATGTGTACCTGCAATTAACAGCCTCCCAGAATACTGCAGTACTGGCTACATGGTTAGAGCGTCCGCTTTCAAAGCAAAAGGTACCGGGTTCCGCTCCCAGTGCCAGCATAAATTTTTATCCTATATGTAGAGGAGTGCAGTCATCTGACGCTTGGTTGTCTCTTGGTATGCTCTTTTCAGAAGGTAGTCCCATAAGGTACTGCGAAGTCATCTGGGCGTACTTTAACCCACCAAAGCCGTGGTAAAATAGTTAGGCATCCGCCACAGCTGTAGGAGGAAGAGAATTGCTGCGGCCAAGCACCTACTAATTAAAAGGAACAAGTGCCGTTCTGGCCGGGTGCTCGGTAAAACGAAGTTCATTGTCACTTGGAAGGACACCCACGCCGTAGGAATTCGATAGCATGCGATCACTAACCCTAAAAGCAGGTCATTTTTATTTCGTTTCGTGGTGATTTTTTATATAGTAAGATGAACCTAACCCACAAGCTTAATTCTTACCTCATTGATAAGGGCCTCGAACAAACCATGCACATGGAAAAAAAAGGATGGCCCCGCCGCGGTGGTCTAGTGGCTAAGGTACTCGGCTGCTGACCCGCAGGGCGCGGGTTCGAATCCCGGCTGCGGCGGCTGAATTTCCGATGGAGGCGGAAATGTTGTAGGCCCGTGTACTCAGATTTCGGTGCACGTTAAAGAACCCCAGGTGGTCTAAATTTCCGGAGCCCTCCACTACGGCGTCTCTCATAATCATATAGTGGTTTTGGGACGTTAAACCCTACATATCAATCAATCAAAAAGGATGGCAGATGATGCTGAAATATCGATTTGCTTTGTACTTTAGAGCCAAGCATACTAAGTATTTACCATACTAAATAAGCCAAGCATACTAAGTATGGAGGCGGAAACGTTGTACGCTCGTGTGCTCAGATTTGGGCACACTTCAAATAACCCCAGGTGGTCTAAATTTCCAGAGCCCTCCACTACGGCGTCTCTCATAATAATATGGTGGTTTTGGGACGTTTAACCCCACATATCAATCAATCAATTTTCAGCACGTTAAAACTAACTCCCAACGTTCCAAAAAGCCACTTTTGTACAGTGTCTTAAACAGAACGATACCTTCATATTTCTACTTTGTTTCTGCTCTTTGAGAGGGCTTCAGATTACAGAGTTAGTTTCACGAAGAGTGGGCTACATATTAGCAGTTCTAGTATGGCACTCAAAAGCTACATATTAAGGAGTACAATTTCATCCTGCTTGAACACAAGGGCAGTCAGGACCTACTTAACCCCCCCCCCCCCTTTATGAGTTACGCCAATGAAAGCAATAGATTACTGGCATTGCACTTGCATGTACCAGCGCGCACAACAGCCTGCATGTTGTGTAGGACGGCTGCATCCTAGAAAAATGTGAAAGATTGCAAGTAGTTATTCACACGGAACACACAGAATGAACTTGCACGCAAAAGATAAATCTGTTCAAGGTGAAATGTAAGCACTACTCTAAAACATGGCCTGGAA